CGGCTACTCGGAAGGCTGAGGCGGAAGGATCCCGGAGCCCAGCAGGTCGAGGCTGCGGTGGCCGGGAGCGGCCACTGCACTCCAGTCTGGGCGACAGAGTGAGACTCCAACTCAAAAAAGAAAAAAAAAAAAGAGAGAGGCAGGATCTCGCTATGTTGCCCAAGCTGCAGTACTGTGGCCATTCACAGATGTGATTACCCTAGCACACTACGGCTGCAGACTGTTGGTCTCAAGCAGTCCTCCTGCCTCAGCCTCCTGAGTTCCTGGAATTACAGGCATGCACCACTGAGCCCGGCCTCTACTGAATCATTTTTAAAGCATCTGTACAAGCATTAGCAATAAGAATGAAGTATGATATTAATTTCAAGGTTAATCAGTGACCTCTGCAAACTTCCATAATTTGCACCTACAGTTTTTTTGGGATTTTTTTTTTGCCAGTCTTAAACTGATTCTTTGACTAGCGCTGTCTTTGCTAAAAGGATGATTCTGGTTATAAAAATGCCAGCTTAACTTTAGAAGTCAAAGCAGCATTCACAGACTTGCGGGATTTGAGCAAACGACATTTCTTTCTTTCTTTCTTTTTTTTTTTTGAGTTGGAGTATCACTGTCACCCAGACTGGAGTGCAGTGGCCGCTCCTGGCCACCACAGCCTCGACCTGCTGGGCTCCAGCGATCCTTCCGCCTCAGCCTTCCAAGTAGCTGGAACTACAGGCGCGTGCTATCACGCCCGGCTAATTTTTTTTTATTTATTGTAGAGATGAGGTCTCGCCTGCCCGGGCGGGTCTTGAAACTACGGGCTCAGGCCATCCACTCACCTCAGCCTCCCAAAGGCGCAGGATCACAGGCTGAGCCACCGAACCCGGCTGACATTTCTTTCTTCCGGATTATTTTCCTTTACCTGCTCTAGGCTGTCAAAAATGGTATGAGAGGCGGGATGTGGTGGCTCATGCCAGTAATCCGAGCAGTTTGGGATGCTGAGGCAGGAGGATTGCTTGAGCCCAGCAGTTCAAGACCAACCTGGACAGCATAGCGAGACCTTGTCTCTATGATAAATCAAAAAATAAGCTGGGTGTGATGACTGAATGAATGTATAAATAAATAAATAGGTATGAGAAAAGATATATACGTCATCTCCCATCTTGGGAAACTTTTATGACTTCAGGTGCAGTAGAAAAATAAATATTTCCTTTTTGATGTCTCCACACACAGCAAACAAGAACTTCCAAGTTTTAATAGGAAGATACACCAGTTTTAGCTCAGCCTGTGTCAGGTGGAGAGAGTTAACAAAATACCATGATTTTGGTGAAGTGTTAAGTATTGAATCACAGATGGGGAAAATGTTTTTGAGGTGGGGTCTTTCTCTGTTGCCCAGGCTAAAGTGCAGTGGCACAATCACGGTTCATCACTGCCACGACCTCCTGGGCTCAGGTGATCCTTCCACCTCAGCCTCGCAAGTAGCTAGGACTCCAGACCCATACCTCCATGCCCAGCTAGTTTTAAAATTATTTGTTGTGAGAGGTCTCGCGATGTTGCCCAGGCTGGTCTTGAACTCCTGGCCTCAAGCAGTCCCTCCCACCTCAGCCTCCCAAAGTGCTGGGGTGACAGGCGTGAACCTCTACACCAGCCTGAGTGTGAGGCTCTTACTGAAATTGGAAATGGCATTGTGCAAAGTTCATATCGGGGTGGCTCACCATTTATGTAATCTATACACAGGCCACCAATACAGAGGCATAATGAACTTACCGCCGCTGCAACCCTAACCCTTTTTCCCTTGTGAAGGAAACACTGCTGCCGTAGAAAAGCACCCTAAATAACAGGGGACCCCATCTGCCTCATACAAAATCTCATGTTGCAGAAAATACAAGAGATGGAGGAAAGGAGGATCGTGAGGATTGGCGAGTCGATGCAGACGTATGCCGAGGTCGACCGGCAGGTGATACCCATCATCGGGAAGTGCCTGGACGGAATAGTCAAGGCCGCGGAGTCGATCGACCAGAAAAACGTGAGTGTGGGCCGCTGGGCCTCGCTCCCCGCTGTGTGCGGTTCTGGTGTGTGCGGTTCCTCCCCTCCCCTTGCACCGTGGCCTCGTTTCACCGTCCCCCGCAGGTGGGTGCTTCCTGGGGTCGCGGGTACTTCTCAGCACGGTCCACAGCGCTTGACGTTTCTTCTGTTAAGCCCTCTGTGTTTTACATGTAGCTTTCGAATTCCTTTTGTGGCAAGTACATGTAAGCAGTGCATTGTCCAAGACATTAGAGAATGAAATTCAAGTGTCTTCCAGTCCGCTGGCCTAGTCACTCCCCAACTTGGGATCTGGTTGATTTTTCGAAAAAGCCAGAGCCTTTGTTTCTCTATGGCCAGGTTTCTTTAGGGCACTTTTGACATGGTGGGATATAATTCTTGCTTTTGAATTGAGGTCTCACTCTGTCGCCCAGGCTGGAGTGCGGTGGCACCATCATGGCTTACCACAGCCTTGACCGCCTGGGCTCAGGTGATCCTCCTGCCTCAGCCACTCAAGTAGCTGGGACTACAGGCGTGCACTACCACACTCAGGTAAATTTTCTGATTTTTTTTTTTTTTTGTAGAGATGAGGTCTTGCTATGTTGCCCAGGCTGGTCTCCAACTCCTGGGCTCAGGCGATCCTCCTGCCTCAGCCACTTGAGTAGCTGGGACTACAGGTGTGTACTACTACGCCCAAAGAATTTTTTGATTTTTTTGTAGAAATGAGGTCTCACTATGTTGCCCAGACTGGTCTTGAACTCCTGGACTCAAACAATCCTCTCACCTCGGCCTCCCAAGGTGCTGGGATTACCATTGTGAGCCACCACGCTCAGCCCAGATAATTCTTTCTTGTGGAGGCTGTCCTGTGCATTGTAGGGTATTTAGCAGCGTCCCTGCCTCTATCCACTTGATGCCAGTAGCACCGCCCCCCAGTTTTGGCAACCAAAAATGTCTCCAGACATTGCCATGTGTCCCCTGGGAAGCAGTGTCTTTGTTGGTTGAAGCTACTGCTTTAGATCCAGGGTCATCCATTTGAATTCTTTTCCTAGAAACTGACTTCTCTCTCTGTAACTACCAACTAAAACACTGGTAGAGGCTTTTATAAACATTTATTAATTTGCAAAGGCAAATATTTAAAAGAAAAGTTATGCCATAAGTGTTCTATGTCATATCTTAACAGTTCTGGCAAAGGACTGAAACAGTCTTCTCCTTGTCTTAAGCACACAGATTCTTCATTGCCCTAAAACATTTGTTGTGTGTTAACATTTAAGACCATTGTATAAAAAGATTTTTTTAGTCCTTTGTGCACAAACGCTTTCAATTGTGTTAAATGGCTTCTATTTGTTATCAGGTGGCAGGTATATGTTTTGTTTTTATTCAATTTTAGGATTCCTTGCTCCCTATTTCATTAATACCTATTGGCCTAGAGCTTCCTTCTTCAGCCATTTTAGTTAACTTTTTAGGGTAAACTTAATTGCTGCTTCTGAATTATTTGTGACCCCCCCCAAAAAAACATTATGTCAATTAGTTTTCTCCTGAACGTGATCAAACCATCCTTTCCTTGAGCTGAAAATTTTTGTTTGACTGTTAGTTTTTGTTTTTGTTTTGAGACAAGGTTTCGTTCTGTCACCCAGGCTGGAGTACAATGGTGTGATCATAACTCATGGCAGCCTCAAACTCCTGGGCTAAGTGATCCTCTTGCCTCAGCCTCCCATGTAGATAAGACCAAAGACACATGCCACCATGCCCAGCTAACTTTTTTTTTTTTTGTAGAGACAGGATTTTACTGTGTTGCCTGGGTTGTCTCAAATGCCTAGATTCAAGTGATCTTCCCACCTCAGCCTCACAATGAGCTGGGATTACAGATGTAGACTACTGTGCCCTGCTGAACATTTTTTCATTTGGTGGTTTTCTTTTATCTGTTTTACACATTTCAGAATAGTCTCCGTGAGGCTTTCTCTAATTGGCTTATTTAAAATTTCTGTAGTCACTAATTATGTTGGGGTTGTGGGGGGTTTCTTAAAGAGAAAGAGTAGGCCGGGCACAGTGGCTCAAGCCTGTAATACCAGCACTTTGAGAAGCTGAGGCAAGAGGATTGCCTGAGCCCAGGGGTTCGAGACCAGCCTGGGCAACTTGGTGAAACCTTGTCTCTACAATAAATACAAAAATTAACTGGGTGTTGTGGCACGTGCCTGTAGTTCCAGCTATTAGGAAGGCTGAGGGGGAAAAATCACCTGAGCCCAGAGGGTCGAAGCTGTGGTGGCCGTGAGTGTGCCACTGCACTCCAGTCTGGGTGAAAGAATAAGACTACAATTCAAAAAGAGAGAGAGAGAGAGAGAGTAATCATGGGGTTTATAGATTATGTCTTTAAAGGTGAGATAATCTCTATGTGAATCTCAGCTTTTCTTTTGTCTTCATTGACCTTGGGCATTGATTAAAATCTGAAAGAAGGCTGATTTTAATTTCTTGTATTAGAAGCTTGGAAATTTCCTTTTCCTTGAAACCTCACAGTTTCATAAGCTAGATGTGGTGGCTCATGCCTATAATCCCAGCACTTTGTGAGGCTGAGGCAAGAGAATTGCTTGAGCCCAGAAGTTCAAGGCCAGCCTGAGCAACATAGCAAGACACTGTCTCTACAAAAATTTTAAAAATTAGCCAGGTGTGATGGCATGCATCTGTAGTCCCAGCTACTCAGGAGGCTGAGGTGGAAGGATCACCTGAGCCCAGGAGGTCAAGGCTGGGGTAAGCTGTGATTGTGCCACTGCACTCCAGCCTGGGAGACAGAGGCCCCTGACTCAAAAACAAAACAAAACAAAACAAAACTTAACTGTTTCACAAGATTATGTCTGAATGGTGGTTTCCCTTTGTCAGTCTTATCTGGGAAACTACAAGATGCCTAGATTTATGGGATTTATAGTAGTTTTCTCCCATTATGGAAGCCTACTTTTCCATGACATTACTGATAATTCTTTTGCACCCATGATCTTTATGTTGCTGTCTAAGGGTCCATTGTTGGCCTTCTTCTGACCTGACCTGGCAGCTTCACTGGCCCTACTGGACCAAACTCTTACCTGTTCCTTCCTCCCCTGGTTCACAGAAAATCACATTGATGGCTTTTTTCCTCCTTCCTGGCCTCTGTTTCCTTGTGTGCCTTTCTTCTTCTTCCTTCTATTGGACTTTGGGGTGCTCCAGAGCTTAGATCTTGGACCTCTTCACTCTCCATTCTCACAGAGAATGTGTCGATGCTTCTGAATTATTGGGGACCTCCCACAAACTACATTATCCTAATGTGTTTTCTTCTGGAAGTGATCAAACCATCCTTTCCTTGAGCTGAAAATTTGTGTTTGCTTGCTTGTTTTTTTTTTGGTTGTTTGTTTTTTGTTCTTCTGCTTTTGAGTTGGAGTCTCACTCTGTCGCCAGGCTCGGTGGCTCAGCCTATAATCCCAGCACTTTGGGAGGCCAAGGCAAGTGGATTGCCTGAGCTCGCGGGTTCAAGACCAGCCTGGGCAACTTGGCAAAACCTCGTCTCTACAATAAATCAAAAATTAGCCAGGCCTGGTAGCACCCGCCTGTAGTTCCGGCTACTTGGAAGGCTGAGACAGAAGGATTGCTGGAGCCCAGCAGATTGACACTAGGGTGACCGTGAGTGTGCCACTGCACTCCAACCTGGGCAACGGAGTAAGACTCTGACTCAAAAAAGGAAAAAGAACCCCTGGGCTCCGGCAGTCTTCTCATCTTGGCCTCCCAAAGTGCTGGGATTATAGAAGCATGAGTCACCATGCCTGGCTTTTGATTTTGAGACAAGGTCTTGCTCTGTCACCCAGGCTAGGGTGCAGTAGCATGATCTTAGCCCATGGCAGCCTCAACCTCCTGGGCTCAAGTGATCCTTGAACTTAGGTGATCTGTAAACTCTTGAAGCATTGGTTCCATCTCAGAACTGACTTGCAAATTTGACATTTACAGCTGGGACCGCTGCCCCACACTACAGGTTCATGTATTCAGCTGCCAAGTGGCTTCTCAAACATATCATATCCAAACAGAGTTCCTTACCCAACCTGACCTCCCAGTCTTTCTCTGTCTCACTGATGGCCTGTCCATCCTTGCAATTGCAATCATTCTTGATAACTCCCTTTTTCTCACACTCATATCAATTTGCAGCCAATTCTGTTGGCTTTACCTTCAAAATATACTCAGAATTCAACCAGCTCTCACCTGCCAGTATTACCTCCTGATCCAAGGCTCCAATATTGTGGATTATGTGGGAGGAACCTGGGTTGCTGCAGGACGCATCTAAATGGTCTCTTCACCATGCACTTTTCTGACTCTATCCCAGCATATTCTTAATACAGAGACAGGAGACAACCTTTTTTTTTTTTTTTTGAATCAGAGTCTCACTCCATCATCCAGATTGGAGCGCAGTGGCACACTCACGGCCACCCCAGCGTCAACCTGCTGGGCTCCGGTGATCCTTCTGCCTCAGCCTTCCAAATAGCTAGAACTACAGGTGCACACTACCACACCTGGCTAATTTTTTATTTATTGTAGAGATGAAGTCTTGCCAAGTTGCCCAGGCTGTCTCGAACCCACAGGCTCAGGCAATCCTCTCGCCTTGGCCTCCCAAAGCACTGGGATTACAGGCTGAGCCACAGAGCCCAGCCCGGAGACAACCTTTTAAAATAAGCCAGATCGACTGGGTTCAGTGGCTCACGCTTGTAATCCCAGCTCTTTGGGAGGCCAAGGCAGGAGGACTTCTTGAGCCCAGGATTTCAAGACCAGCCTGGGCAACACAGCAAGACCCCATCTCTGCAAAACATTAAAAAACTAGCCAGGCGTAGTGGCGTGTGCCTGTAGACCCAGTTACTTGAAGAACTGAGATGGAAGGATCACCTGAACCCAGGAGGTCGAAGCTGTGGTGATCCATGATTTTGCCACTGTACTCTAGCCTGGGTGACACAGTGAGATCTGACTAAACAAAAAAATTAAAATAAATAAAAAAGTTAAAAA